GTCGTCATCATAATCACAAACATCAACACCATGAAGGCCATCATCACCATCAGCATCGCACAATCGATCTCACATTCGGTCTCACTACCGATATCGCAATCGATCTCGCAATCGACGTCATCATCATCATCATCATCATCATCATCATCATCATCATCATCATTATCATCATCATCATCAGCATCATCATCGCCATCATCAACATCATCATCATTATCACCATCATCATCATCATCACCATCATCATCATAATCATCATCATAATCATCATCAACATCATCATCGGGACACCGACGGGACACGGACGGGACACCGGCGGAACACCGGCGGGACACCGCGCCGCCCCGGCCGCCCGGAAGGGAATCATTTCGTCCGGCCGCGCCTCAGCCACACGGGACACCAGCGGGACACCGGCGGGACACCGCGGGCCACCGGCCGCCCGGAAGGGAGTCATTTGGTCCGGCCGCGCCTCAGCCACAGGAGACTTTCTCTCGCCCGCCCACGCAGCTTCGCCTCGCCCGCACGGCACGCACGAACACGAAACCGAAATCGATTTCCCGGTAGGGGGGCTCTCCGTTCCACTTCGATCTCACCCCCCAACCTCCGATATATATATATATATATATATATATATATGTGGTGTAGTATTTGTCCAGGGTTCATTCGGGGCCTTTGAGGGGGCCATTGAGAGCACCTAAGGAGGCTTTCGTACAATCTGCATGTTGTCGGTATGTCGGAGGTTTAGGGGTGAGATCGCAGTGGAACGGAGACCCCCAACCGGGAAATCGTTTCGTTTCGTTCGTGTCGTGCGTGCGGGCGAGGCGAAGCTGCGTGGGCGCGCGAGAGGAATGAACCCGCCGTTGCTGGGGCGAAGTGATGATTCTCCCCCGTCCGTCCGTCCGGCCGGCGGTGTCTCGCAGTGTTCGGCGGTGTCCCGTGGTGTCCCATGGTGTCCCGTGGTGTCCGCCGTTGCTAGGGCGAAGTCAAGACAAATGACTCTCCGCGTCCGTCCGTCCGTCCGGCGGTGTCTCGCGGTGTCCCGCGGTGTCCCGTGGTGTCCAGTGGTGTCCCGTGGGATCGATAATGAGATCGTGACTGAGATCGATGTGGTGCCCCGTGGTGTCCCACGGTGTCCCAAAAAGTGAGATCGATAGTGAGATCGATAGTGAGATCGACAGGTGTCCCGTGGTGTCCCGTGGTGTCCCGTTGAGTGAGATCGATAGTGACATCGATAACTACTGAGATCGATGTGGTGCCCCGAGGTGTCCCGTGGTGTCCTATGGTGTCCCGTTGAGTGAGATCGATAGTGAGATCGATAGTGAGGCCAATAGTGAGATCGAGAGGCGTCCCGCGGTGTCCCCTGGTGTCCCGTGGTGGCTCGTGGTGTCCCGTGGTGTCCCGTTGAGTGAGATCGATAGTGAGATCGATCGTGAGATCGACAAGTGTCCCGTGGTGTCCCGTGGTGTCCCGTGGTGTTCCGTGTGAGATCGATAGTGAGATCGATTGAGTCCGATGTTGGTTCCCCCCCTCTCCCCCCCCACACACATTTCCCTTATCACCCGAAAGGTGGTCGTATAGGTATGCATACAAGCGGTAGTTTCTGAAATTTGCTTGTAGTGCTGATAAACCATGCCGTGGCCCAGATACCTGCTTCATATTCTGCAGCTGCAGAGTCTAGTGATGTAAGGTATAGTGTTTGTGCTGACTCAAGAGTACCTCCCAAGTAGCCGTATAACCATGTGTGCTCCAATGCTGCAGCGATGGCCACAAAAGACCATGCTGGTGTGCAGATATTCCCCTCCCAATCTTTATATCCCCGGCTGTGCCGTCCGTGTAGATGTCCAGACGCATAGGTGGGATGCCTGGGTCAGGGCCCAGCTTGGAAAGACCTGAAATAGTGGCTGAGTGTCAGAAGCTAGCGTATGCGACCGTATCGGTAAGTAGTTTTCATACCCATCTTTTCTGGAGAAGGTCCCGGGTATCCGCCAGGTTCGGGATGGGGCTGGTAACAACTCCACGTAGATTGGATTCCGGCTGCAATGGAGGGGTGGGGCATGGGTCTGCCTGAGTTCCTGGAGAGATGTCTGGAAATTCCCCTCCAGTATGCAACCGTATTTGTCATAACTCATCTTCTTGGCCCTGGATGGCCGATCGTGGGCTGGGCTCGTTTCCCATGCTCTCGTCGATGTCGTCCTCGTCGGTGGCCACCTTGACCTCCTCGGCGGTCGCCCTGCGGGCGCTGCCCTTGTCGAAGGCGACCTTGAGGACGCTGCCTGGGATGCGCTTGCTGGCTGACTTGTCCGCTGCGGTCCTCATGTTGATCTTCTTGGGGGTGATCTTGGGGTCTGCTGGCTCGGCTGATGATGATGCCGCTCTCCCTGGTCCAGGCGTTGTCACCGCCCCCTTCAACTGGTGCATCCGCATGTTCCACTGGTGCTGCTGCTTCTCCTTGCGCTGGGTTCGGCGGCCACGGCGCCGGCATTGCTGCCAGCTGTTCTGGAGCCGCACCTGCGTGGGCCTGTTGGCTCGCTGGCGCTGGTGCCGGTGCCTGGCCCTGTCCCGCTGGCTGTGCCAGCGCTGCGTTGGTGATGACCGCGGCGAGGGCCTGCTGGATGTTCGCCATCTGGGTGGCGAGGCCGCTGACCTGGGCTGCCGGGTCGATGTTGGTGGCTTGCACTGCTGCCATGCGCGCTGCAGTGGTTGCCGTCTGATCGGGACTCTGCTTGGCACTCATATGTGGTGGCTTGGCCGATGTGGGAGCTGCCGCTGGCGTTGGTGGTACTTCTTGCTCCTGGCCATGTCTGTCATCCATGATAACATCCTCTCCGTCTTCTTCCTCCTCGAGGCGTTCGAAGTGAGATAGCAGATCCTCAGCTTTCTGCACGTCCTCGAAGAGTGCCTGTGTGAGGGTGACCGCTTTCTTGTGCTCGTCAAGTGCCTGGTCCTGCGCTCTCTGGGCGTCACTCAAACGCTTCCTGATTCTGTCAACATATGCTTTCCGCTGCTCCGTTCGGGCCTTCGATCCCTGGTGTACATGATCATGTACAGGGTGACCGCATAGTCCTGCTCTAGCTCTGCTATGCGGGCCGATCGCTGTCCTATCTGGTAGGCGCTGTTTATCCACCTCACAAGTCCGTCAAGGCTTATCTTCAACTGGTCTCGATGAGCAGTGATACCCTTCTTCGACGTAGGCATTGGCAACCATAATCGATGCTTCATGGCCTCCTACGGCTGGTCTTTCGACTTCCTGTCAGGAGCATGTGCAGACCTGGTCCGTCTCGGGCGTGGTCCTCCTGCAGCATCATCTTGCCACCATTGCCCCTGACGCGTCCAGCTCGTAGATCACTGTGGCTTCCTCGTGCGAGACTGGTACATCCACGGCAGCGACGAGTCAGCTTCGTCTGGGACACTGTCTCTGCTGTTGTCTGGCTCCAACACGCAGAATCTGCAATTCTTTCCTGGAGTACAACAGTTTGCCTGAGGACGACTGGCTGGCTGGCTGGTGCTTGACTGCGCCATCGAGCTGTGGTGTTGGTCGAGCAACTATCTGGCTGCTGCAATGCGGAGGAACGCTCTGGCGATCCCCCCTCTGTGCTCTCAGGCGGCGGTACCACGCTGACTTGAATATACGGCGCGTGGTGGCGAACGTCCCCTGCTGGGGCACGGCCGTCCAGACGCGGGAATGGCTGGTCGGCGCGTCTTGCGGCAGTCCCGAGAGGCTCGCAGGTTCCTGGAACTTGCACCCAAAACCTCGGGCCGGGACGGCAGCTAGGAGGAGAGGAGGGAGGAGGGAGCGAGGGAGAGGAGAGGGTGAGCAGGACAAGCTAGGTGCGCTCGCGCATATTTGCCATCCCACCAATGCGTTTATCTGTTTCCTCTATCCGTGGACGCGCAGCATAAGTGAGCTGGAGCTCCCAGTACGACCCATTCGTGTTATGCGTAATCGGAACATGGCAGCTGCGTGCATAGGAGGAAGGGGGATGATGGTGATGATGATGATGATGATGATGATGATGATGATGATGATGATGATGATGATGATGATGATGATGATGATGATGATGATGACGATGATTATGATGATAATGTTGATGCTTATGCTGATGCTGATGACGATGCTGATGATGCTGATGATTGTGATGATGCTGATGCTGCTGCTGATGATGATGCTGATGCTGCTGCCGATGATGCTGATGATATGATGATGACGACGATGACGACGATTACGATGATGCTGACGATGATGCTGATGATGCTGATGATAGTGATGATGATGCTAACGATGATGCTGATGCTGATGATGCGGCTGCTGATGATGGTGCTGCTGCTGCTGCTGCTGCTGCTGATGATGATGATGATGATGATGATGATGATGATGATGATGATGATGATGATGATGATGAGGATCAGGAGGAGGAGGAGGAGGAGGAGGCGGATGAGCAGGATAATGAGCAGGATAAAAGGAGGGAGGATGAGGAAAGAGGAGGAGGGAGACGAGGACGAACATCAGCAGCAACAGCAGGACGGGTTGGAGTGGAAGGAGCGGGAGGAGCAGGAGGGCCAAGGGATGGCGGAGGAGGGGAAACGAGGGGGGCGACATCGATGAAAAAGGACTCGGATCCAGAAAATGGCCCGCCCTGTTGCGAAAGCGCAATTCTGAACAACGGAAGCAAAACGCCGATACGAAAATGAGGCCCACGATGCAGCGGGAGTATCATGTGGGAATTCCGTAAACAATCGGATTGCAAACAACCGTGCGAAACATTATTTTTTGGAATCTTGTGCGTGAAAACAAGAGGGCCGGACATCTTCCAGACTGGGTCAGGGGAGAGAAGAGAATCGTATTCAAAAGGTGTAGAGGAGGAGGAGGAGGAGGAGGAGGAGGAGGAGGAGTTTGACGACAAAGGTTGACGAGGAGGAGGGTTGAGGGGAGGGGGAGGGGGAGGATTAGAACAGTTGACAAGTAGAGGGCTGCCCTGACCGTCCCCCCTTTCGCGCAGGGCGGGCACCAGGAGTTCGCCCCGCGGGGCCGCGGCAACTGCGAGGAGCAGATGGACATGCTGAGGTACTTGAAGATCAAGCTCTCGGGGGACGGGGGCGGATTTCTCCTGCTCCTGTCGAGGAGCAAGGTCGAGGCCAAGCCTCTGTGTCCGCGCTGGGGCGTCCGCAGGATGCACAGGCGGGTGAACCTCGCTCATGCCACGTCCACAGTGCCAGCACATTCAAGGATCATCCCGACGCGAGTTTGAAAACACCCAGGGCCAGGGCTGGGACCAAGCATTGTGGTGGTCACAGATGGTCGTCATGCGTGTCAGGTCCAGCGTACTGTTGTGCAGACGTGTGTTGCTGCTGCTGCCGTTCGCACGCGTAACGTGGTGCTCGCAAGCACATCGTGGCTCTTGTGATACAGCCAAGACGCTGAAATAAGGAGCAGCTTGGATTCGGAAGGGGCTCGATGTTCCTTACGTCCTTCCGTGGTTGTTCCTCTAGCCCTTCTCGTGCACCCAGGCTTTCTCGAGTGTGTGTGTGTGTGTGTGTGTGCGGTGCTCGTGTTGGCGGTGTCCTGTTCCTTCCCGTCCGTCGTTCCCTTTCGTTCCATTCTCGTGTCGTGCTGGGCCATGGCCTAATATTGAATTGGGGAAAACCTCCGACTCTCTTCCCACAGCGAGCCCGCCGCTGGAGGATGGTACCTTTGCAGGCCGTCATGGGCCGTTCCCCATCAGCCCGTCCTGCTTTGGGCCAAATGTCTTCCCCCAGCGAGGCTGCAGGCTATAGTTGCATTCAGGGAGACAACCCAGGATCGTAAGCGTTCCAGCAGTACAGTCCAGTCCTCCTCCGCCTCCTCCTCCTCTTCCTCTTCCTCCTCTTCCTCCTCCTCCTCCACCTCCTCCTCCCCCTCCTCCTCCCCCTCCTTCTCCTCCTCCTCCTCCTCGCCCACTTCCCCTTCTTATTCATCTTGTTTGTCTTTTTTGTTTGTTTATCCTTCTTCCTGTTCCAGGAACGAAAACGAAAACGGGCGCAGCGCAACTTCGGCCAGACCCCGTCGTGGCGACGCGCGGCGGGTGCGCGGGCGGTGGAGCGCCGCCTGCGGGGGGCCCGTGGCCGAGATGGCGCTGCCCCAGAGCAGCTGCAGGCAGAGGAGGAGGATGAGGAGGAGGAGGAAGAGGAGAAGGAAGAGGAGGAGGAGGAACAGGAGAAGGAACAGGAGGAACAGGAGGAACAGGAGGAGGAGGAGGAGGAGGAGGAGGAGGAGGAGGAGGAGGAGGAGGAGGAGGAGGAGGAGGAGAAGTAAAAGGAGCAGGAGGAGGACGAGGAGGAGGAGGAGGAGGAAGAGGAGGAGGAGGAGGAGGAGGAGGAGGAAGAGAAGGAGGAGGAGGAGGAGGCTTCGGCAGTAACCCTGCCGCCGCGTGGGCGAGCACGCGCAAGTCCGCCCCACCTGCACGCCTCGAGCCTCCCTCCTTCCGCCGCTCCTTCTTCGTCCTGCGTCCCCCCTCCTCCGTTCTCCCTCTTCCGTCCTGCCTTCTGCTTGCGTCCTCCTGGCCCCTTTCTCCTTCCTCCTTCCTCCTTTCCTGATCCGTCAGAGCGGAGCGGAGGAGCCCGCGCACGGGCCAGAACGCGACGAGAACGGTGTCGTGGCCATCGGAGCCTGAGGCATCGGGTTGTGTCGGGTCGACCAACCTTTTGTCTTCTCCCCTAAACTGTGATAGTCCATCCTGCCTCCTCTCTTCTGCCTTCCGCCTTGTGCCTTCCCTCTCCTGCTCCCCTCCCTCCCCCCTTCCCCGCGTGCACTTTTCCCCCTCATGAGCCAGTGCTCCACCATCGTTCCCCCTCCCCCTCCCCTGCCCTGTTGCCCTGTCAGTCGGGTGCTTTGCGGGGGTCGTTTTATTGTGACCACTCAGGAGGCGCTTGGTAGAAGACTCCTTGGGCGTCCTTTGTGCGCTGGGCTGGGCCTAGTGGTATGTTTTGGATACATCTTGGGCGTTGGGGATGTCTTGGGGCCGTCTGGGCCGGTCATAGGGGGGGTATACTGCGACCGTGTTGGGGTCTGCGGGCAGGCTGCAGCCATTTTTGAGCCGTTCTCTCGCACCGCCCGCCCCTCATGGAACCGTTCCGCCAGAACTGGCACGCAGCTGATCCGAACTGAACCGACGTCGCCGATGCACCGCGGGCGTCGCCGAAACATCGAACATGCATCGCCGATGCATCGGCGATGTTGCGCGATTCTCCGACCACATCTTTTCGAACCCAAGTCAGGAGGCCTCTACAACCGCACTGTGACCAAACGCTGACGGATACTTTCGTGTCGCCGGATCTGTAGGACTTCGTCGTCATTCCCAGGGGCCGATTAGGCATGATACGATGTCATTAAGGAACCCGCGTCGATTTCACCTCACGCAGCCGTCGTCATCAGTACTTTCAAGGATGCCACAGCCTACTTGACGACACCAGCGCAAGTTTGGGCTCAAGACGTTTTCAAAGTTTCTGAAGGTGCTGCGTTCCGTCACCTCTCAATCTGACAATGGGCTCTTCCCCAGATGGGTTCAGTAGGCTTTTGTCTCTCTTGGTCATCTCCTTTCTCGGAGTTCTCCAGTTGCGCTGATGCGCGAAACCGCCACCGCGCTCAGCTGCGCGCCTGGGGTGGGGGACCTGAGGTGGGTGGGCGGGTTGGTGGGGTGGGGCTGGGACTGAGGAGGAGCAGGAGGAGGAGGAGGAGGAGGAGGAGGAGGAGGAGGAGGAGGAATTTCAGGAATTTCCACCATCACGTAGTGATATGCAAGCTTGCTGGCTCAGCTTGGGATGCAGGTCGCGAGCTAACCTGTCAATGTACTCGCGCCTGGCCTTGGTGATCAGCTGTGGTTGGCACGGGAGTCCAAGACCCCTGAGCTGGGTCTGGCCGAAGAAGCCACAATCGCTACAAAACCACACACCAAGGACATGCCGAAACCGCAATGCGTGGGTGGGGTGCGTCCAACCGCCCGCCAAGTGTAAAATCCGCCCAGGGGGAACTCGGGAGATCTTACCGTCAATGGGCAGGAGATGGAAGCACTTACTTTTTAACCATTCACGCTCCGTGTCTTTCGAGGCTGAATTGCGGCACGCTACACACGACCTGCCATTCTCGGCCAAACCATGTGCAGACGCGAAGCGTGCAACGACAGTGGGAGGAGGAGGTGGCGGGAGACAGGGGCCTGCAACAATCGGGGCAGCCCCAGTCTCCTGGGAAGCTCGGATCGGCTCGAGCCCAACACGATCTCGACCTGGTGCACCCGATGTCTTTCAACTTCTGAGACCTTCGTGCGAGTGGCGGCCTCTCCCGCCAACATGTCGACACACGAATTGCCTTGCACCAGCCAGGTCGGCCAGCGCTGAGCTGTCACCTCCTCCCCTGACAGATGGGAAGGCACTGCAGCACTGCAATTGAGGATTCGCCTTTGACGGCAACATGCTGCTGCACCTCGCGCCAAAGGTCTGCCTGGGGCCCGTCGGGGCGCGCAAAGGCGCGACTGCACCACCCTCTGGCGACCTCAGCGCAATCAGAAACGAACACGACAGACCCAACCGTGAAACGCAACGCCCACTCGAATGCCAAGAACTCCCCAGGGAGAGGCCCTAGAATGTGGGGCCCCAACTTGCAAGGAGAGAAACCTACAAAGGTGGCCACTGCTAGGCCAACGCGCCGTAGCCTACAGTCGTGCGTGTCCTTACCACCCGAGGCGTCCCCAAAGACAACGACAGGGCTCTCAGCGGTCCCGCACCCAAGACACCCGTCACGAAGCTTGCCACCTACGAGAGAGTTCCCATAGAGGACCTCGGAAGCAACGGGAGGCTGTACAGAGGTCCAAGAAGCGGGAATAATGCCCCTCACCCAAAAGGCTGGGAAAATGTCCTGCTCAGCCTCAGGCACAAACTCATCTGACTGCTGAAAAGCAGGGGACTCACGGTTTTTGGGGCACAGCCAACAGCGATGGATCGGCGTGTCGACGCCCTCGCCACACCGCAGGCACACGTCGCTGTCGCTGAGGCCTGCTTCGGGCTTCCTCTGCCGCGTCCGGAAGCCCCCTGTGGTGATCGACGCCATGAGCTCCGACAGCTGCCTGCCCTTCCTGACGTCGAGCAGCGCGAGGATGTACTGCCGTAGACTCAGCAGATCGACTCCGAACTCGAGGCCGCCCCCCACAGAACTCCTGTGCAGCCTGCTTCCGCTGCTGCGCCGAAGCAGTGGTCTCCATCTCGTCCAGAAGCGCTCGCGCCAGGTCCAGACCGACGAAGGACTCCTCGTGGAAATGCCACGTGTGAGTGTCCGCCGACCCGTCACTCGGCACCTGCCACGCCGTGGCCGAGAGCGGGTCCCACCCAGCTTGCAACAGGTACATAATAACAGAAGACATGGGCCCCCGAACGTTTCGAGCCCGCTGAGAAACTGGCACATCTCGCAAAGCCCTGACGACCCTGGGCCACGCGAGCTCCACAGCCTTGCACAGGCTGGGCTCAGCGAGCCGCGTCATGACCCACTGCGCCAGGCAAGCCCTCGGCAGCGCCGCGCCGGGGTCCGCGCCAGGGAGCCGCAACGCTAGCAGCGTCGTCAGGCAGCGGCCGCGTCGGCTGCTGCTGGCCGCAGCGCCGAGCCGCCGCCCGTGGGCCAACGTGGCGGACCCGAAGCCGCCGTGCACCTGGTGTCCGTGCGTGGCTGCCGCCTGCGGCCCCGCGCGCTGGACCTGGCCAGTGGCCTTCCAGCGGCGGGCCGCGCGCGCGAACCTGCGCGGGCGCCCGCGCGAGTGCCCAGACTTGGCGACCCGCTTCCTCGCCGTGTCGCGCGCCAGCCCGCGACCCGAGCCGATGTCCACGCCCAAGTACGGTGCCTGCAGCACCGCTCGCACCAGGGCGCCCTTGGCCTTCAGCGCCCTCGCCACCTGCTGCGCGTCAGCAGCTGGGCGCACGTGATGGCGCTCTTGGGCGCTATGCCGAGATCAAGACGCCGACGCTCTCGTCCTGTCGTAAGAACCGGCTTCGCCAATGTGTTGCGGGCATGGCTTCTGGACCCTGTGACTCTCTCCGATGGATCATCAACCCAACTGCGTGGTGCCGCCGACGGGTGAGCGACCGTGAGCTGCTGACAAACGAACGAAGTGAGGCACTTGGCGAATCTAGTTCCGTTCCGTGATCCCTGAGTGATAGATTTGGAGGTCTGGGAAGGCAGCGAGCGAGACCCCAACTGTGACATCATGCGCGGGGTCAAGAACATCTGCATCTCCAGAAAAAAGGATGGTCGGTGGGAAGCCCTTCTTGAGGGCGCAGGTGGCAAGGGCGGGCATGCGAATGCC